GGTTACAGTCAGATCAAGATCTCATTTTCTTAAATGTTCATACAGACGTAGTGGATTTACTTACAAAAGGTTTGCACACAAGTGTATAAATCTATCACAGTAAAGCTATATGCAAATTGCTTCCTCAGCACTTGCATATTTCAACTTTGAATATTTGCTCAAAAGTCCTCAAATATCACAATTTTAACGTTTCTTGCCAATCTTTTCAGAAAGAGAGGATAAACATAGCAGTTCCACTGAAGTAAACAATGATCACACACTTCAAAAGGGAACTGGTTATGCCTTGGAATTAAGACAGCTTGATACTTGTTAAAGTAGTATATATAGCTGACAATATCCCTTCCTTTGTTTGTATACACTTTTACTTAATACTAAGCACAATTTTGGAGAGAAGTATGCCACCTCTGGTAGGAAGCTTTAGTTAGAAAAGTCTACATCTACAGTACATCTACAGTACTCTGGTGTTCTGAAGACTGCTTTGCCTTCCCCATCAGTTGTTCCATCATTGATATAGAGTGCTAGAGCGATGCTTCCAGCAAGTGTACCTCCATTAGGAATCCTACAAAGGAAGCAAATCCTGAACATTACCTGCAGTACAAGGTCTGTAATCTGGTTCTTGATGCCAGCACAGAGTGATAAGGTGCAACAGTCTATTCCTCTGGGGCAAATTGCTTGGTATAAACTTTTCTGAAATGCCAGGCCGCAAACTGCGGCAGATTCCTGTCAGAACTTCCAGCAGGGTTGTCTCACCTGCAATATATAGGAGAATGTCACTAAAAAACCCATTAAATACCTCAAATATATTTGGCATGTTGGTTTTTGTATTTGAAAACAAAGAGTGCTTTTAAAAGCAAAAATAAAAAAAATATTAAAAGTCTTTTAAATAGATGTGCTAACCTTTAACAATAGCCATAGCTTCTTATTGCAACAGGCCACATCAAAATAAAGAACTCTGTCCAAATAAGTCGCAAATGGCTGTGTACACATGCATTGCAAACTACATGCACAGGTACCTCAGGTATGCATGTAATTTTTATGAGTGTATTTTAAGCGCACAGTTCTATATAAAGCCTTACACCTGCATTACCGGAATGAATATAACTCCTATTGTACAAAAGCCTCTACTTTGGGCAGCCACAAGATGGCAGGCATAAGCTGTAGGAACATTAAGGTACTATTCTGTGCAGGATATCCAAAAGGTCCTCAGCCTGTGAAATATAGGAGTCCTTCCACGTTGCCATGCAGAGCAGAGCCCATCGCAAAGAAGCCTTTCATTGATCTCCACCTCCATGAAAGAGGGATTGTTCCTAGCCTGTGACAATTAGTATACATTGCTTGGCAAACTAAGTTTTTTAAAGCTACTCAGACTTTCATCTAAGAAGGTAAGATTCCCTGCTTACTCGAGAGAATTCAGCCTGAACTGGCATTTCTTCATCAGGCGTTGAAACTCACGGCAACTTTAAAAGTTAGCATTCTGCTCATCCAGTTAGCTGCTTGTCACTAAAATGGTCCTATTACAACTGTCAAATATAAAGCAGTATTCTTTCTCACTAAAGGTAAACAGAAAACTCAGCTTGATAACAGAGTGCTTCGGCAAGCACAGAGAGATGATACAAGCAGGGTAAGGAGCTACATCTTTCCCCCGAAGAAAGATCAGCTGCTCTGGAAACACTGAGGAATTCCCTACAATAAGGGAATTTGTGAAAAATTAGGGCAACACAAAGTCTGACATGAGCAACAGAGATAAATACCTTCAAAAGGTTTCCGTCTGCTTAGGCTCTCCCAACAGAGTATTCCAAAACTGGGGAAAAGAAGAAAAAATTCCTGCATTATTAAGTGTCAGTTTTCAACTAAGTTGTTCTTATAAAATAATAAATCTGTTAGAATTATTTTTATTTTTTTTTATCAGATAGGAGCAATTGGAACTACATTTCAGGTTACCACCTTATCTCCATTCGCTCTTGTGAATTTCAGAACCTTTTGTTCTCCTTTCTTTATAATTTTTGTTTTGTTTTCAAGTAATTTAAATAGCAACTGAAAGAGCTGGACTTTTCAGCAGGTACACACAATTAACATCAGCACAATTAACCTCCCAAAAACTTGTTTCTGACCCACTGTGTGTCTATTTTCTTCAGCAAATCTTGCTGGAGCTCCAAATACCTTTTTCCTTTTCTAACATCCTGGGAAGTATTCCAGAGGTACCATAGATCTACATATATAACCCACAACTCAGAGGGTATAAAATACTGGTTTTTGATAAAAAGCTCAATCTGCAAAATCGGAGATAAGGAGACTGCTAGAAGAGAGAAAGTAGGCTATGGATGAGTCAGAAGGAAAGCAATCAAATGGGGAAGAAGCAGGTCTAGGATAAACATATCTGCTTACTCATATATCTTGCTCTAGTGCTGAATTACAATGTTTAAAAGAACCCCCTCTTCTGCCTTATTTCCACATAAAATCTGAAAGTGCTTTTACTTAAATACCCTCTAGTAAAATATTAACGTAATGTGAGCGTACATGTAACTTACATGTAGTTAAGTAATATCTCCTATGACACACACTTTTGTTTTCTCTGTTGCACCACTGTCTGGACATGCACTTATCTCATGAACTGAGTCGCAACTGAACCTATAAAATTATCTAAGAATGGCACGCTGGAAGATGAATTATGCCACCTGGAAGTAAGCCGCCACTCTTCCTGTGCAAAAATCGCGTGTTTGTGAACAACATCAGATTAGTCACATCGTTTATAAGTCTCCAGCGTATGCATTGTTTGACTCATCTTAGAGCCTGCCTCGGTGCCAATGAAGTCGGAGTTTGAGTTTGTTGCCTCCATAAAAGCTCTGAGAGCAGAACAGCGGTCATGCTTACAAGTTATTTATAACGTTAGTCCACAGGCTCTGTGTGCCGGTTGTAAAGATGAATGTCCATACAGACAATAGCTGCGATTTGAGGTTGTCTCATTTCTTGTGGCAGCTCCGAAGCATGTAACATATCCAGAAGGGACATGTGGCAGCAGGTAATCTTCCTCCTTAGTTAAAAAGCATGAATGCCTGAGAGACTCAGTAAGTTATTCCAGCAGAGATTCCGTAGGACTTTAATGGGACATTATTGAAAGAAAATTCTTGTTTTCACCTGGGCCTCATCTAGGCATCAACACCAACAACTCACGTTTAAAGACTATGTGAATTGTAGTTAGTAGGTTTCTAAATGTATATGAAAATGTTTTGCCAGCTATGTTACACTTTTAAAACATTTAGGTCCATTATATAAATATTTATATGATAAACTTTGAGAACCGTTCTAAACCTTGGTATATTATTCACCAAATATGGTGAATTTCAAGTTGAATTCACTGCAGTAATTGACCTTGTGGAATACTGTCCTACTGCATTATGTAGATCTGGCATTTTTACTGTAGCGTCTTTGAAAATAAGTATTTCGGCAGCATTGTAGAACGTAGCGAGCAGTAGGTATAATGTGCCCTTAGAAATCCCATTCACCTGTAAATATCACTTTCCTGGGAAGGAAGGCATCCTTCAAGTATTTCAGGAGGGAGGTACACTAAATCCTGGCAGTTTCTCTGATTGCAGTTCTGCAGGTCTGACCTCAGTTGCTCTTTCCTCCAGTTGATTAGACCATAATCTGATACCTACAGAGATGGGAGAAAAAGTAAGTTTTAGTAACAATACCTCAAGTCTTGGTAGTAAATGTTGACTATTAGGATAAATATATGCAACAATAGGGCAATCGCTGGATTTTACATTAATAGGCTAAAAGTAAAAGCTCCCACCTTGGCTCGGTACTGCGTATCCAAAAGCACATTGGAAGGTTTCAGGCTGCAGTGGCAGACAGCAGGCTCGAGGCTGTGAAGGTAATGCAAGCCTTCAGCCACATCCGACAGGATCCTCATGAGTAAGGGAAACGGAAGTTCTGGGTACAGTTGATGCTAAGTGACACAAAACACAGGTTTGGGTAGTGTGAAATTGTTACTATTCACATTTCATTTGACAATAAACAGAAGTACAATACAGAAGCTAAAGAACAGATTGACTGCGACTGCTGTCCATAATTTACACGCCAATTGCTCTCTTTTGGCTGACCTTGTAATTAATTTTGTCACATAAAACAGAACTTTTATGTACCTCATGGATGAGCGAGTGGAGGGATCCATTGTTCATCCATTCAGTCACTATCCCCACAAGTCCACGGTACTGGTAAATTCCAAGAGAAGGCAGGAGACGTTCAGACTTGCAGTGTCTGACGTTTGCTATATCCTGAAGTAGCAAATTCCACTCCCTGTAAAGAACAGCAAGGGTTAGAGGCAGGTTAGACTGAAGGGAGTTTCAGCTAGAGATGAGATAGTGCAGGATACAGAAATGAGAGACAACCATGTGTTTGAAAACAAGCTAATATAATTCTACCGATAAACCCAATATTGTATCACCTTCCAAGCAATTCTAAGACAATGAAACAATACCTTATATAGCATATTTTTTCCTAATATATCGTGAAAGATCTCTGGATGCTTTAATATGAGCATAAGAGCACAGTTTAAAGCAGGACTGAAGTGCAAAGGCAGGAGAAAGCTAAACTATATAAAACGCTAGATTAAGAAAAATCAAGCTTTTTCCCCTTACTGGCCCCAAGAGCTTGTGTTGTATCCTTTCACTAATAGTGACATGCACATTTACATGGAAATTATGATCTTCCATGCTTATGTAATGGGACCATGTTATATAAATGATATATGATGGAGCGTGTCATAGCATGATATAAAAGTGAAGCCAAATTCAGATTTGATGTAAGTAGTACCATTCCAGTGACTCTGTAAAATTCAGTTCAAGCTCAGCTGCAGTTGGATCGTAGACCTGAATTCAAACAGAGTTTATTTACAGAGAATAACAAAGCTTTGCTTTGATCGTCATCAGAAGAATACAGTTTTGTTGTCTAAGGACTTCAAACAGTTACTTCTTCATGCACAGGGAACACCGAACTGTCAATTTGATTGTGCATTTTCATGGAAATAACTGAACTTCTGCTACAGGTTCAATTTTTGTTGACTGTAGTTTTGATTTTAAAGATCCGATTATCTCTACTCCATATTACTTGGGAGCTGAAAATTCACTGAAATTATTTCAAAATTCAGTTGATTTCAAAAGACCTGGAGCTCATTCTTATTATTCTAACCAGCCTTTACACTAAGGCTTCAGTTTCTCATATTCACTGTGTTGATTCACAAGCCTGTAAACTCATCACTGGAGGCAGTTCACTGCCCCACCTGTTTTAACACTTATTTCCAGAAATCTCAATATTTATCATCAGCACGTGGTTAAATATTTTGCAGCCAAGTAAAACACGGTTTATTCTCCCAGCTTTCCTAAACGCTGTGTAGTGTAAATGAGAGACTAGAATGGTGGAAAGAGAGAGAAAAGCAAAACGGTGGCTTTACTTTTAGGGAGCAAGTTTGAGTGAAAAGATGCCAAATCAGGGTAGCATGTTAAATTCAAAACAAAGTAAAATGTTGATTTCTGTAACTTTAACTATTTTGTTTTGGGGTTTCTTTGATTTAAAGAAACTTTTTTTTTTCTTTAAACAAGCTGCCAAACAAATAATGTGTGTTCAGATTAAAAAAACTGCTGGACTTTCCAACACACGGAAGAACTTCTTTACGGTTGGGGTGGCAGAGCAGTGGCACAGGCTGCCCAGGGAGGGGGTGGAGTCCCCTTCTCTGGAGGTTTTCAAAACCCGCCTGGATGCAGTCCTGAGGGATGTGCTCTGGGCAGTCCTGCTTTAGCAGGGGAGTGGGACTAGATGATCTCTAGAGGTCCCTTCCAACTCTGAAAATTCTGTGATTCTGTTGTCTAAAGCCAAGCAATCCTTCCCCCCAACCACAAACACCATAAAATTTTCAACTGTTCCCGGTCTGGCAGCATTTGGGTTTTGAAGTATCACTGAAAATTTAAACCGTCAATTTAAAAATATTTGTATGAAATACTGTTTTTTCCTCACCTACCTTTATAATGGAACATTACAGCTATGTATTTGAGTAGGACATTTTTGTATTTTACTTTTAAGAAAAGCCACCTGAACGGCAGCATTCTCCGTTAACAAGAGTAACTAGTCCATAAATGCACATCAGACACTCCTTTTTTTGATAAACACTCAGGTCAGTGCATTCCCTAAAAAATTTTGGTTTTGCTTCATGAGAAGTAGCTTGTGGTTGTTCTTGGAAACTTTGTTTTTGTTGCACGCTGGAATTTTGTGGTAAGCTGATGCCCATTAGTTACTGCTCATTTCTTTTTATAATTAGGACATGTAAACATCTCACTGCCCCGTAACCCTGACCATTATGTCTCTCCCTCCTCCCATTTCTCTACTCTCTCACCTGTACATACTGTTTTAGATTAAATTCAACTGAGATCTCTTTAGGGACCTCCAGAAAGATGTAATACCATAGCACGCTGAGTATTGCTGATCAGGGTTTGTAGACATCATCATAGCAGAGATAATTAATGACTTCAGGATTAAGCTCTACTTTTATAAAAGTTTGTAAAAAACATAGAGCTTGTTTCTCAGCATAACTGCCTGTTGGCTAATTGGGATTTCTAGGAATGGGGATGCGTTTAGGGATCAGATGAACCTGAGCATGCCACGATTCATTCCGGTCTGTGATGCCCACCTGCGTGGTTAGTTGGCTGAATAAGACACGTACCTCTCTCTAGTGTCTTGGCTGGTCAGCAGCTTCACCGAGATGTGAGCGTTCCAAGAAATATGGAAGGCTTTGAGGGCAAAGCCTGAGCTTGTCCTGGTCAAGGTAAAGCTCTCCAAATCTTCCTGGGCTACTACAGGTAATGATTTCGCCATTTCTTGATGGCTGGCTTGGGGGAAAAAATGGCAGAAAAGGAAAAGAGTTTTAAGGACTACTTGTTGTCACTACTACCAAAGCACAGTGAAGTTGCAGCACCCCTTACTTCCCAAATAACTATTACCCTAATCCAACAGGCTTACATTTACCACTCTGCGTCAGACTTTCCTTATAAAGACAGGAAAAATGCACTAATTGCAAAGGAGCGTCTGGACCATTACTTGCCATCTGAGGCTGCAAGGTGCTAATTAATTGCTCATTATTATTTCTATCTGATGACTTTGAAATGTGGGGCCATTATTTATAATACAAAATGTGATTTTAAACTGATACTGAAATATGTAGACAACAAACTAGTATCTTACAGTTACATGCTAGACAGAAATACAGTTTCCCTGCTTCTCATGAAAAAAGGCAATAACTCATGCCAGTCTGTTCTGTATCATTCTTGCATCTCTTCTTTAATACAATATCCCGTGTCAATGCAAAAGCAAGGTAAAAGACAAACGTCTTGCTGCTGTAAGCTGGTAGAACTCTGCTAAATGGAGCTGTGTCTTTATAGCAGTCACTAATTTGGCCAGTACTGGGTCTATACTGTAACTCTTAAGGCCATCTGAATGTTTCAGACACATTGTGTGGCAATGCACATGGATTAGAGATAAGCTCTGCAAAGCATCACTGTGTGGCTACGAGTAACATTTTTTTACTACACCTGTGAAGCTCCATTAGACTAGAGAATAACCAAAAGTCAGCGGTGAAAGAGGAAAATGAGCAAGCAATGAAAACAGATGAGATAAAATCCGTACTAAGAATTACTGCAAGATCAGTGGTCAGTGAGTCAGAAGAACTCAAACTGGAAAACCCCCTTTCAGGGTCCAGTAGACCAGGGCTAGAGAAGAAAACACACAAGGGAACTGAAGTTACAGGGCCAAAAATTTGAAGTAACCAGTAAGGACTGTTGAGTGGCAATTGTGTCCTTCTAGAAGATGGGCTCTACAAAAAGAGCTCCTGGGATGCAGAAGGCCTGAAAGTCTTCTGACTTTGAGCAGTTCACTTGTTCTCCATGAGTAAAGTAGAAGCAAAAACCTGAAGATAAATTAGCCTATGCTCATGGCTGAGCTGCTTCTAGTTCACGACCAACTTATTTTTGGTTAATCTTAGTATCTAAGCTGTGCCATGCAGGCACATTCACAATAACGGAGGGGTACTAAGCTCAGTTTTGCATCTAACCACAGTCAAAATGCAACTAAAAATTCGGCAGCTGATTTACCAGTTCAGCTTCAAAATTATTTGATTTTGATAGGAAAGCACAGTTGTTGGGTTTTTTTGCTTTTGTTAGTTTATTGTAGTTTGAAAGCAAGAGCTCCTTTAAGTGCCTCACTTAGAGTTTTCTTAAGTAATAATTCCGATATAGTATGAAGCTGACAGACAGGTTAAGAATTTCATAAAATTTGAAAAGATTGCTCTGAATGAAGATGAATTTCCAAACAAACCATTTATGCTTTAAAGTTGCAAAGACAGACCACACAGATCTACAAATTCTAAATGTAAAGGAGGTAATCAGAAGGCTGGCAAGAGCAAAATTGTGTCTCATTTTTATTATATACTACAATAAATAATAATTTAAATAGCCAAAATTATTTACTCAACTCCAAACATAGTACAAGGAAGATCAAACAATGAATAAACCATTCCTTAAAGTATCTGTTTCTATTTAAAATTGAATCAAGTAAAGCTATAACAGTTTGTTTTTTTAAAAACTCTTCCTAACTGGCTACTTAGATAAAAAGATAACCTAGCCATCAGCTCCTATTTTGGATTTGCAAAACCTAATTTAACTAGAGATTTTCTAAAAACAAAGTGAAAACCATTTCAATCTTTCTCTGTTACAAACCATGACATCCCAAGCACCATTGTCCCTGTGTCTGAGTTTGTACATCTGTTTCCACACCTAGACTTAAAATTATTTGCTGATAATCTCCAAAAGAGTTTAACCCTAAAACGAGAGATCTTTTATCTATGCAGGGTGCTACCCAGATGCCTAAAATAGTTGGAGGGACTAATCATGGAATATGAGACTGCCATGGAATTAAAGATAACAGAGTCTAGCTCTACCCCCTAGATTGCAAGTTTGGTACCAAAGCCATCTTTTCATTAATTTTGCTCTTCTGAATGCTTTTTCTCTTAGACCTTTTTAAAAAACTCACTATCAACCACAAAACCAGTATTTCTTAGGTGACCTTCACAATGAAGGGTTTCGTCTTACTTTTTAAGTAAGACACTAAAAGTCTCAGACAACTTTGTCATTGTCCTCTAGTTGGGGAGGCAGAGGCAGGAGGGAGATTGCTATAAAACCATTTATTTCAACTGTCAAATTTTAAAGGTAATTTTTAAAAAGTCGTAGTAAAGATGTTTCCCTTAGTATGAGAGAAACTCTACATTATGTTAATATTCAGATGTCTCAGTAAAAGAAACTGGAAACAAAAAATCAACTTACCTCTGGAAATATGGGCATAAAAACTATGGAACAATGGAGTGAAACTGCTGCAGATACCAAGTCAGCTCTGAACTGCGTTCAAACACAGCTTCAGCTTTCCTGCATGAGTCAGCTGCGTTGTTGATCTCGCCTTTTATTGGCTGCCTGCAAACAGCTAAAATTTCCTGGTCAGATATACAAGCTGTAACTCTTTAGTGACTGCAGATGGGTTTTCACGGGCTGATTCGTTAACAGCCTGTAATTCGTGAGAGCGATTACAGACAAAGTGGTTGGATAGCTGCTTTTTCCACAACGAGGAACACCAAGAGGGAAAGCTATATAACAGCAAAAAACCACATTGGATAGAGCCCAGATTAGGAAGCGCATAGAGCTGCATGCAGATTGTGCAGCTGATGCTTATCTCTGCTGTAGGTCAAGCCAACAGCACAAGTATCCCTAAATCCCCTTAAACTTTTTAAGTCAAGTTGATCTTAAAAGCGGAAAAAAATGCTGGTTTTCTGGTTAGAGGGTAGGTAAGCATAGGGGTAACATAAGATTGCAAGAAAGGATCAATTGGCTGAAAGGACGTAGGGGCTATGGTGGAAGTTAAGTTGATCACGAGCCGACAGTGTGCTCTCTCATCATAAGTGGGAAAATTGCACACTGGGCTGCAGTAGAAGTGCAGTCAGCAAAGCGAGAGGAGTCACAGAATGAGAATCACAGAATGGTAGGGTTTGGAAGGGATCTCTAGAGATCGTTAAGTCCAACCCTCCTGCTAAAGCAGGTTCACTTAGAGCAGGTTGCACAGGATCACATCCAGGTGAGTTTTGAATATCTCCGGAGAAGGAGACTCCACACCTCTCTGGGCAGCCTGGTCCAGTGCTCTGGCACCCTCAAAGTAAAGAAGTTTTTCCTCGTGTTCAGATAGAACTTCCTGTGTTCCAGTTTATGCCAGTTGCCCCTTGTCCTGTCGCTGGGCACCACTGAAAAGAGTCTGGCCCCATCCTCTTGACGCCCACCCTTTAGATATTCATAAGCATTGATAAGATCCCCTCTCAGCCTTCTTTGATGTACTCTGACAGCATTCCTATATTCCTCCCAAGGGGCCAGTCCCTTTTTCCACGTTCTGTTCCTTCTTCTATCTGAGTTTTTCCAGAAGCTCCATGCAGGTCTCCTGCCTTATTTCCTTGATTTCTCACTCATAGGGATGCACTGATCTTGAGCTTAGAGGAAGTGGTGCTTGAATATGTACCAGCTCTCTGGGACCCCCCCATCTTCTAGAACCTTTACCCATGGGATCCCTCTCAGTGGCTCTTTGAAGAGGCCACATTAGATCTCCTGAAGTCCAGGATTGTAATCCTTGTTATTGCCCTGCTTCTTCTTCACAGGATCCACAGAGCCAAGTTCTTCTCCATAGTGGCAGATAACAACCAGTGGCATAGGCAGATTTCTCTACTTCAGGTTCAAGCCAGATGCTAGAATATTTTTTTTTTTCCACCAGGTGGGTAACGCAGTACTGGAATGGGCCACTCGGGTTGCAGAATCTCCATCCTTTGAGGTTTTCTAGACTCAGTTAGGCAAAGCCATGGCTGACCTGACCTAACACTGCTGGTGGTCCTGCTTTGGACAGGAGCCTGGGCGAGAAAATGCCAAAAGTCCAGAATATCTTTAATTTTGTGAAAACTCTGTAAGGCCTAATTATGTTCCTGCTAGGCCCCCGGCACACACATTCACACTGAAGGTTGACAGGACTGCTGGATGCAGGGTGGAGACTTTAGGAGGAAGCAGTCATTTCAGTTCATCACGTTTATTCAGACTTTCCACTACATGGAAACCGTCTTTGTTTATGGTGTCTGACTTTAAAAACCAGTGTCAGTCACTGAGATTCTGTCCAGAGACTTCTGTTGGTTTTGGATCAAATCCTAACCCCCCAACAGGCAGGGCACAAGCAGTAGGGCAGTTACCTCATCCTCCTGTGATCACGGGAAAGTCCCTTATGTCTAAAAATCATGTGGCTGGGGCTCCGTGGCCCCAGAGGAAGCGCACAAATAGGCAGCGTGGAGTGTGCCTTCACGTACAATGCTGTAATTCCTGACGGCTGTAGCTATCTGACCAGCAGCAGCTTTCCCTGCCCAGCACACCCCTCCGAAAGGGAAATTAGTGTGCGGGAGCTGAAGGAGCAAAGGTAGAACAAGTGGGCTGTAATAGTCCTGGAGAAGGCTGGAAGCACGTCAAGCTGCTGCGGCCACAGGATCCTCCTCTCCTTGGCCTTGATTTGTCAACAACACATTCATTTGTGTCCACAGTCTACACTTCTGTAAAAAGAACATTAAAAGTGTTTTCCCCCATTTAAGGCATTAGCCTGTCAGGCTCAGACCGTACTGCAGGAGAATCACAGCTGTTAAAAATCCTTACAGCTAATTAAAGAAATTTCTTAGGGGGAGCTTTGTAGACAGTTTGAAGGACTTAATTTTGAAGAAATTCTTTGACACTTAGTCTTAGGTACTTCTGTATTTTTAGAAT